TGTAGAACTATATAATATCTACTTATATAACTTACATTAAAACTAATATCTTATCTTTCTAAATTTGATAGGTACAATTAGCTTCTAACAAGCCTATAGTATTGATTATTTTTTACCAATTCTTTATCTATATTAATTTGTAACTTTGTATCTTTTTTCATAGGTGTTGAACTTAAAATATAATTCAACATGCCAAATCCACTAAGCATAATATTAATATAATTTTTCTAATTGAAGATTATATTATTTTTAGTGTGCATAAATTCTACCTCAAGATATACTTGCACTAGCTCCATATTAGTCTTTTCAAATTCAAATAACCATTTGTTTTTAACTCTAATTTTTTTTAATCATATCTTATAATAATTAGGTCATCAACATAGAATAGAATAAGTATATACTTTCTATTGTTGTGTCAAATATAAAAATTGGAATTTGATGACAACATATATATTTCTATCTTTTGTAGATGTTTATTGATTCACTTGTATCAAGCTTGAAGAAACTATTGAAGATAATAAAGTACGTGTTTAGCTTACATACCTTATTATTACTTTTGTATTCTTTGAATCCAAGTGAAATAATTATAAATACTTCGTTTTTAAATATCTTATTTTAAAAAAATATTTTGATGTTATATTGTTTTATTTCCTATTGTCAAATAACTGCTAATGTTATTATTATTTTTATTATATTTTGGCAAATGATAGGAGTAAAACTTTCAAAGAAGTCTTGTCTTTTTTATTGCTAAAATCTATATGCCACTTCTTAAGCCTTATATTTTTCAATGTTGCTTAATATGCCAGTCTTCTTTTTAAACATCCATTCGGCAAAGAAAGACTTTTTTTCAAATAATTAATTACAAATCTACCAATGATGCTTTGAAATTCTTAATTAATAGATTTTTTATTTTTTATTCTTTTTTTCTTCAAAATATTGAATAGGATTCATTTTAGTGCAGATATCTAATAGCCAATTGTCATGAAGTCTTATTGATGATTGTCTATACGTATTCATTCTTCTTTGTATCAAAAGCTCATTTAATTAGATTGGTGAATTAAGAGATATTAGTGATGATTTTTTTGGAAATTACATGATGGATGTATTTGGCAAATTTTCAACAAAAGAAAGTTGCTCTATTATTTTACTTAGAATCTAAGAGCAAAAAGATACACCTTTGGATTCAATATAGTAATTTTCATTTTTTTCATGCTCATCCTTGTTGCAAATTGATGTTGTATGCTTTCTTAAAATTCTTATTAAAATATAGAATACACTTTCAAAATTTTCATCATTGTAATTGTCTTTGAAATATTCATAGCTAACTTTTGTTTTATCAAAAAAAAAAATTCTAGTGATAATTATTCTTTTTTTTGTAGAATCATAGACCCAATAAGCCTTGTTGTTGGAATCATATCCAACAAAGGTACATTTTTTAGTCTTACAATCAAGTTTTATTTATTTTTCTTTGAGCACATATAGATAAAAAAAACAGATATAAATGTCAGATGTTTTACTTCTAGTTTTTTCTTTGGATTTTAAGAAATAAATTCAACTTCAGCAAGAAAAGATGTTAGTAAATAGTGAAAAATACTTAATTTTTCTTAGAGATGGTTTTGAGATTGGTCCAATCAAATTTGTATAGATAAGTTGAAGTCTTTTCTTTGATTTAAACAAATCAAAGAAAAGACTTTGCTTTAGGTACTTCTTTCTATATTGAAGATCCATATTACAAGCTTCACAAAAAAAAATTATACTTTTCTAAGTGGTGGTAAGCTTTTTACTCTTAGATTCATATATAGTTATTTTAGACTAGAAAAATTGATTTATATATATATATATATATATATATATACATGATTATTCTATAGTTTAATATTTTTTATAATTGATGAATTGACTTTAGCAAATAACTAGTTTATGCTATAAAGGTAATTCTTTAATTTATGCAACCTAATAGTGATCACATTGCATTCTACTTTTTGATCAATTATCCAACATTTATCTATCAAGAATATTACTAAATATCTTTGAATTGTAAGAGAGTCAACTATCAATTTTTTCTTTAAATAAGATACAAATAGAATATTTCTTATCTTCTTTGATCCTTTGTTGTCAATTTTTATGTTGATTTTTCCTTGTCAAAATGTAATATGTGGCTCACTACTTGTTGCTTTTATTTTGTGAAATTGACTTGCAAGTTTGAAGGAACTTAGCACTCATTTGTTGTTTGTCACATGTTGAGAGGTTCTACTATTGAGATATCAATTGCAATTTTTTCTTTTCTTTTTCCAATAGTCTCAAAAAGATTAACTTCTATCTCTTAATTATCAACTTCTACTTTTTTAGAGGTGGAAGAATTATTGTCACCTTTTAGGATATTATTAGTAGTAGATCAAATATGTATCTCTATTAGCATGATGAACTTTGGTGATACCTTAGCCTCTTGAAAAAAAATGTCTTTTGTCTACAAAATGAGTAATTCCATCAACTTCTTGTATTTTTAGAATTATAATCTATTCCAAATGCTTGTATTACTAATACTTCTATTTTGGTATTACTATCAATATTTGCTCTTAGTTATAATATTTGTATCTTAGTTATTTATTTGATATTTTTTTAAATTAAAAAATTAATTAATAGATGTTAAATTGTATATTGGATTGTCAAAGGAAAGAAGTAATCCATTGAAAAAATTTTATACAAGAATTTTTGCTGGAATTGCCTTATCAAGTGTAGACAATTGATTTTTGTTTTTATAAGCTATCTTTAGAAATTCTTCTATGGAGATAAATTTTTAAAACTACAAAGTTAATAACTTCTAATTTAATTTAGGACCATAACAAGGTCTTCACTTTCATACTTGTCTTTTCTTATTTTCCATGCATCCACTAAATCTTTGTATTTAATCACCAAGTCTACTAAGAAGTCTTTCATAGCAAACATAAGGATCTTTATTGATTTTGCTTTCATAACACAAATTTGAATTTCTTATAGTGTACATCCATTGTCTAAACATGGATATGTTGCTAGTATTAGTTTTTGGATAGTAAGCTTCTATTGATTTTTTGCTTATAGAAAAGTTTTTATCTTTGGGCTCCAAATATGAAAATTATCTTTACCAATTAATTTATTGGCCTCACTAACCTACATAGGGTTATTAGAACTTGACATTATTACTATTGCTATTATGCTCTTTTAGCAAATAGACCACTCAATATGATGCATTATTATGCTTTCCAACAAAAAAAAGCTGATTCTTGTGGATTATTCTATACCAAGTATTAATACCATGTGAATTTTACAATACCAAGAGTATTGATATATTTCACAAGTATTTGATTTAAATATTATTGACTTAAGTTGTTTAAATACTTGAATTCTACATTAACTCTACTTGTGATTTTGGACTATGCTATTGTACACCTTGTTAACATTGAAAAATTGGTGGGTATCAACTTCGTCCTTGTATTAGCCTGGTATCAGCTTGGTATCAAAATGGAAACCCTAAACGTCATTTTTCTCATCCTCAGGTACGACATTAATTCTCTTTTGTGTTTATTGTAAGTGCCCATATATTGGAAAGTTTCCAATATATGATCTTATGCAACACCAATTAAACATAAGCCCTAATTGTACCAAGAGGGCAAAGAAGACGAGTCAAACCTTGCAGAACTCTTGTGTGACGCTTCATTTTTTTGTTATCAAGCGAGAGTACATGCTGGAATAATACGTTCCCTGAAACTCACTGAATCTCACAAGCTTTTCAGGTGAGTTTTTGAGGGCAGCTAGCAAAATTCTTTTTGTCAGATTCTTAGATGCAGCGACCTTGGTCACATTAGGAGAACCTTGTACATCGACCTACAAAACTGAGAAGTGACCATTTATGTTACGTAAGTTGACGTGAATTCTTTATCTGGAGTGCTACCATATTATAGTACGGGTTCAACTTGACATACTCTTGGGTACAATGATATTCTGAACCCTATAATATCTTAATAGAGATATTTCGGAGTCATGCCTTGTTTGATGTTGATCTACAAATGTGTGGAACATGAATGACTTCACCGATTTTCATAGCATACAGAGATACACGAAGGACCACATTTGCTTAGCGTTCTGTAGTGCAATGCATACAGTAAACTCGTTGGTGCTGGCGACGAGGTCACCAAGCATGCCCCCCGCAATGCTCAGCACCACAATACTTAAAAAATCACTCAGGTGCAGTGTATAGGTTGTGCTTTAGCATTTGGCCTGAGTAGAGAGGGTAGATTACAGTATTCACTTCTATGTTAAGTGGGACACTCCAAATTGAAAAGATCACTTTGCTAGTTTCTTTCTACCCAAGTTGTATTTGCCCAATTTTCCTGGTAGATATCATAAGTCAACCCTAACAAGGAGCATAAGCACCATGCCCATCGCAAGAACACAAACCTGACGAATAAAGTTTTGATCGTGGAAGGTAGATTGCGGTGCTTCTGCGGATTCCTGCGAACAAGCTTTCGGGTATGTTCGAAGACTTTCAGTCGCTCTATTGCAGATCTTCCTAGTCCAGTTACACTGTAAATGCTCCCCAATATACCCTGCAGGCTCCTAGTCTTGAGTCTGATAAGAGCTTCGCATGAGGTCCCCTTCACGAAGCCATGATGGAGAACAGCATCCATTCTCAGTGACATCACTTGATGAATCTAGCAAAGTCCGGCCTGTAAGCTCTTGAGTTCTACACCGAGAAGCATGTTTCTGCTCAAGTACTGGCTTCATCCGTGGGCGCTGAAACTTTTTTTGAAGGAACGCCATAAGATCCAAATCAATCCTTGGTGTGAACTGCTTTAATTCTCTTCGAAGCGTGCTCTGCTCCTCCACAGATAATTCTATGATAAATTTTAACACTATGGTTGGGTCAAAATGAGAGTAGAAATATTTAATATCCGCAATGGCTGCCCCCCTCAATTTTTCGTTTTTGTCCATCGCCAAGGGTACAAGTTTTCCGAGCCAGAGTTTCAAACGCCAGTGAGACCAATTATAGAACCATCATTTGCTAGTTTTGCAAATGCAGCGAGTGCAAACTGAATCACTGTCATTCTGGCCTTCAGTATGCGTTGCTCATCCAAGGAACGAAGCAGTAGCAGCAGCAAGGCATCCATGCTGTAAGTGTCTCGTATTGTCTCCAAAGCCGATAAGCCAAGTTGACGGATGGTGACTTTAGTATCCACAAGCCTCGCAAACACAGATGGTAAAGTCCTCTCCAAATATGGTTCGAAAGTTTTCTGGCATATCGGCACAAGCTCTATCAAGGTAGAGAGAGCTGCTTGTTTTACTTTCCTACGAGGGTTGTCAAGTGCATGGATAAAAACTTCATAATCCTCTCAAAATTTTGAGTCACCTCGTGTGAACTTTTAGAACCTTGTTGTAGCAGTTTTTGTATGTAAGTGAATGCAGCGACTCTAGCCGACCAATGTACATTAGAGCCTGATCCTTCAGCCAAAGCATCACCCAAAGACATCACTCCGTCCGAGTAACTCAACATTGCTCCTTGAGGTTCCATACCTCCTGGTTGCTGAATGTCCTCTTGATTACTGCTTTCTGATGGCTTTCCTGACCTTGTGGTCCTGAATTTCATTCTATAGGAGATTTTGCTTCTGCAAGAGGATAAATCTGGGATTCTTAACATCTCTACTTGGATCTCCGACATTGGAATTGGTTTTGAGCCCTTTTCCATAAGACATCCTCCCGTGAGGTTATTTTGGCAAGACCCCTTTGTGGACGACGAGACCTGCCTGACACAATGGGATCCAATCACAGGTCCCCTAACTGATGCGCTAAGTGCTGTACTTTTAAACTTCAAATTCTTATCCTAATTATCTGCTTGACTATTCTCTAAACCAGCCAACGCTTGTCTGGTGGCGGACGGGCTAAAATAATTGCTATAGCTGGAGACATTTTTAGAATCAGAATGAAAGTTTGCAAGAAGGCATGGCATATGGGGCGAGTCACGCACACACTGCAAATCAACGGTTACCCGCATGGTTTTTGCAGATGAAGATGCATGAATTTCTCGATAACTACCACCGGCTGCAAAACGGATAGAGAGAAGATCAGGATCTGACACTCGGAGGATGTTAATATTTTTTACATGGAATTTCTCTTCCGCAGCGCGCTACTAAATGAAAAAATCTAAAAAAAGCACGTACCTTTCTACACCTGAAACACATCCGCAGAGAAAAAATAAATAATGTAAATACCTGAGTGTTCTGGTACACAAACTACGCTTTCAATAGAATCACCACCATTGGGTATTATATCTATAGCCTTCAACTGATTGGTTAGAATCATCTTCTGCAGCTTTTTCTTAGGAGGCATGTCGAGAGATTCCCTCTGCATCAGGGTTGAAGCATTTGGGTTTCCAGCACCAGGTATCACATTTTTACTCCGCTTATGTGAAGGTCCTCTGCATGAAGCTTGCCTTGACTGTACAGGTATTCTGGTAGGTAGTCGCAACTGATTTTGTTGATTGCTTCCCACATCTCGCGCACGTGGAGACACAAATCGTCTGTGTAATCCTTCTTCATCATTCAAGAGCTACAAAACAAAACAGAGAAGGAATCCATTTGGCAACCTCTATGCTATTCATCGGACTCTCAGAGATTAGAATAGGATCTACCAGCAGATGCTGATGTGCGTAGTTATTATAAATGCTCACCTTCTGAACTGCAGGATCAAGCAACAAGTAAAGTCGGCGTGCCAGGTCTGGCCAAAATCTTGAGTATACTCGGTAGCAACCCCTTGCACTTGACCAAACCTGCACAGAAGGTCATGACACAAGGTCACATTAAGATAAGTCTCATTCAAGTCAGTCCTATTAAAATTCAGAGTGGTTCTAATGAAATGGTAGAAAGAAAATAAATAAACTATAGTTTCCTACATACAAGGTCTGTCATATTAAAGTAACTTGGAACTTCGAATGATCCAATTCAACTTGCACGTGTCAGGTTTCAGATGGAACAGACCTTAGCCATAGCATCAAGAGTGCACCATATAATCAACTCTTGGTAGAGATCAGGAACTCGATGCATGTCTGAAGAATATCCCCACTTCTCAAGAACCAGTAGAACATAATCACAACACCTGCGGATGAGATCGTTGTCATAGTTTGCCCAAAACCACCAAACAAAACGAGAATCCACCTTCTACAAGGACAACATTCCCTACACCTACCGCATTTGTTTGGTTTTGCAATAGTTACCTTGTCCGCAAAATTGGATTTCGATCATGCTTTGCGCACGTAATGATTTGGGGAAGTGCACGCGCTACGCGGCAATTCATCAGTATCTGTAGGCCTACACTAAAATTATTGAGGATAGAAAACAAAGGAAAGTCATCAGGCAAATTTAGAAGGTACGAACATTCAAGTGATCGCAAGGAAGCACTGACAGTCATTATGCAGTGGTCGGCTGATTCAGCAATCCCAACCACGGTAATCACAACAGATTTGAATAGAACCTGCAAATAAATAGTTACTCTTATTAATAAAATAATTATCTTATAGTTTTCACAATTAAATGAGCATCTTTAGAAATAAGCCAGTCCGATTTAACAAGTAAACTTTTTCAACTTACCGGTATGAATGCTTCTGCAAAGGACTCGAAAGCCATTTGAAGCTTTTTTGAGAGCAAATTCAGAAGCTGGCATGCCTGGATGAAAAAGAAGACGATATAAATGTAATAGGTTCAAATATTCATTAATCTTACGAATAGTAGAAGATAGATTTCTTTCAACAGGAATTGATTCTTCAGAGGCGTTAATGTGAATGCTATTTATACTGACTAGTGACGATCTCGATCTAAGTTGATGCTGTAGAAAAGCTTGGCATTTGTTCTATTCTCATGGACATATACCACGTTCATATGTGACTAACCCCCCTACTCCATCAATAGAAGAGATGCAGAACGCAATAAACCTGCTTCGCAATACCAAAACGCTGATCTGACAACTGGGCACTAAGAAGACCTACAAAATACTTGAAAAGCGTCAAAAAGCCAGGGTACTCCACAGCACCTGCTAAAACATTGCATCCACAGCTTATTGATGCACGACGTAATTATTGCAATAAAGGGAAATTCTATCTCTCAGGTCAAAAGCATGTTGATCAGTTTATACGAAGAAATTACAAGCTAGATTTGTGGAGAGAAAGGAGCAAGTTCTCACAAGTTGGTAAGACGACCTTGAGATTTTAAGACTAACAATTTTATCGAACTCCTTTGCCAGCTCCTTCTTTGAAAATAATTTTATTGGATCGACGGGTTTCTCACATGCTTCACTTCCATCTGCTTCACGTGGCGCAAGATGAAGCCAACAGTTAATGTATGACTAGAAAACAATGGCATCGAAAATGGGGAACAACGGGTGTCCGTTTAGAATTGATTTTGGCATTTCAGGATTTACCTCCCATCTGGACATCATCAGGGACCCTTGATTTAGACTTTGAACTGCATCGCCAACGGGGGCTTAATCGTGACTGATTTCCTCCAGAAGAACTAGCTTTTGTTTGAAGATCGGAGTGATGATTCTGACATACAAGACAGTAGCATGTATTTCGAAGGTTGCTGCGACCTGAGCCACCAAAGGGTAAATGTTCATTGGCTGACTAGCTGTCAAACTGGGAACAAATCCTCAAATGCCTCTAGTGTAATTCAATCTATTTTGCCAAGTCCTGAAGTATACATGAGATCCATTAACAGCATCTCTACATGAAGTGAGCAAATGCTATCGCAGTGATGCTTCGATGAGCAAGCTTACTGCTAACAAACACTTATTGGAGGGATTAATGTGTTGAAGAAAGAGAATTGTTTACTGATGCAAGAATGTGAGAAAATTCCTCGCGCACCTTCCGATCCTTATGTGTCCATGCTTAACTGCCATCTCTATCCGCAATGGTGGAAGCAGTTGAAACCTGGAAGCACACTGGACACGACAATCAAAGCTCACCATTCAGATCAGTCAACTTCATTTGAAGATTCCAAATGCTTGGTTTCATCAACGCAGTTTAATTAGGAAGTATTGTGATCCTATAATGAAGCTAAGATTTTAACTATGTCTTTTGTATCTCCCCTGTGCAGAACCTCAAGTGCTTCATCTGTTGTCATGAATGACGCAATACTTTAACTTCGAGCCATGGATACAAGTTCTTGATGCATGGGCTCACGCATGAAGAAACTAAGTCATGGACGCTGTGTTTGTTGCACACGTTTAAATTTTTCTTACAACCTCTTCCGTAGTCTCATACACCTTCATGATCGTGAATTGAGTCCTCTGGAAGTTGATGTCGTTTAGGCGGAGTTTGGAACAACCTAAAGTCTACTGGATAAACTTAAGTGGCGTCCATCATCTACCAAAAATAAGCATGTCAAATCATGTTGCCTTCCGCAGTCAAAATCCTCTTTCACTCTGAAAGAGCTCTGAATTCCAAGTTGTATGCAAGAGAGTAAGTGGATAGTTGTAAGTATATGATTCCCACTGAAGGCGTATCGTTCAGACGTGGGACCACTGATGTTGAAGTGCGATAATTGGATGCAATGCCAACGCCTACGTGACCATCGTCTCGTTGCAGCACCAATTTCTACAGGTCGAAAAGGAAGGCGGCAAAAAAAAACCATAGAGTCAGATCTGAAAGAATTTAGAACCAGAACTCGCTGAAAGTAATCCTTCACGAGGAATACATGAATACTCTGCATTTCAGAGCTTCCCCTCACAGCCCACAACTAAAAACACGGGGCAGATCCTTGCTTGACTGCGAAGATGAGATTCTTGCCCGAAAAGGACAAATCTCCCAGATGCGCAAGCATGTTGCATGACTGTACTTCATCGTAAATATCTCAGAATTTCACATCCAAGAATGACCACATTGTCCGATTTCCACTCAAACTTAATCGTTATCCGTGACTTACCGTTGGAAATTTTCCACAATCCAATTAGACCGAACATCTTTACTCTAGACGATCATCAAATCTCCGCTCAATCATCCTCGCTCTCCTCCACAAATAATTTTAGCGTCAATAGCCCCAACTAAAGCCTCGCACAATACTCCTCATATTCACATTTCAGTGCCAGAGGTGAATCACTGTAATTATCTTACAGTGCTCTCCAAACAAAGATCACTACCTCGAAACCTTCGAATACGGTTCAAATGTGGGTATTTCGTGAAAGACTTTTCACAGGGCAGAGCGTGCACAGCAGAACAGCAAGGGGAGGTAGAGCGGGAGTGGGAGCCCACTGAGAGAGACGGTTGTCCCAACTCGAACGCGGAACACGAGACCTTGATTCCTACATCCTCCCATGTACGCGAAATTTATAGAGCTGACTGTTGGCAACGAAAGAATGCAATGCGAGCGCAAAATTTGCTGGTTAGAAATAGCTCTGACAGTCTCCCTCTGCAGTGTGGTGTTTTCATGAACATCGACCTGCATGGTGTGAGGGTACTGTATCATCTTGTGCACTTTCGCTGAAAGAGAACGCCGAACACCAGTTCACCCCACAAGAGCAGACTTGTCGGCATGCTTATCAGTTGACAACATGCAAGAGCCGTCAGTGCCCACTTTTCAACCTTCCAATGCCATCAAAGCTACAAACCTTTGGTCACAAGATTAGCATGCGTATCTTGTGAAAAAAATTGGTTCAACCGATGTAGAGGGATTGTGTATTTAAAACGTATCTCAGCTACAAAAATGGCCGACACTACGGAAGGGAAAGATGTTGGGGTTGAGCGAGGCGAGATCCTTTCCTTCCTATAATGCACCAATGGCCCACGACAACAGCCCAGCACTCTAATCCAATACTAAGTCAGATTTTACTCAAGATAGCATTCTTCCTCAATTTGAGTTTGAACATTTGCCTCAGATTTTAATTCTGAACCAGTAATCCAAGCATTTCACTCTACAAACCAGTAGTTGCCATGCATTGGCCAACATATTATTCGAATAACCTGTTCGTACTGGCATGAATCAATCCAACAAACAAATGGTGGCATTGGCACTGCATAGGATTTTAAAGCCTTGATCATCCAACTCTTAACTAGCCCACTCACTTCCAAAGATAACCTAGCACAATATTCAGATATGCTCCTTTTTCATGTTTGCCTGCATTTGGTTCAGAATCACTATCCAGTCCAATATTCGGAAAAACCTGATCCAAGCATAAAAAGCGCTTTTGAAATGTAATAACAGCAACGTAAGGATTCGGAGGGAACTCAACATGTAAACATTCTATAAAAGAACCTCCAATTACCGGCGACAATATGAAACTTCATAAAGGAGTACTCATGAAAAATGAATACAAATTACTAACCCAACATCCAGCTATCTCTCAACTTCATGATGCTGCTCGTTTATTCACTACCAATCACCACAAGAAGCGGTGAAACTGCTTAACAACCTGACAAAGAAATTCTATCTCATCACTCTTGAGAAAAATATAAATCGGATTTGCCTCACATACCAATTACTACTTCACACTAACGTCAGTTTATGGGCAATCTCTCACAAGAAGAGGAATGAGCTCATCCTTTGTCCTCCTCATCACTGATGGGCTGTATATACTACACAAGCCGAGGACCAAGCTGGGAATACAGCCTTCAGATATTGGAGAGTTGTGGATGCATTTTCTTGTGCTCAGTTCAAAATCGTGTCATGCTCAATCACCATTTTCTCTATGGAGATAATTCAATTTAAAAAGTAAAAACTCTCGGATGTTACATGATCCGCTGAGGCAAGTTCGTCATTACGAGTATTTGCAAGGCTGAGCACCTCGGATATTCACAGCCATTCAAAAACCTGAATCACGTTACGCCTCCGCAGTATTCCCAGATGCACATGACACACACAAACACACTACAACTTATACCACCCCAATCTGAAACTGTGTATTGGTGCAGAACTGAAGTCGTGGCATTCGCTGAGTTTCTTAGAAATTGATGCTCTAAATTTTTGCAAAGCTTGTGAAAAGGGACCACACAGCAAGGTAATCTGGTACATGGAGGATTCACAATACCCAAAATTCTCAAAATCTTATCCACGTAGATGGAAAAAACCACAAACTATGGACCCCGCATTGATTCGAACCAAATTATCATGCGCCAGATGCAGAAAGAATGCAATAATTGATTTCCGCATTACCGAAAGCAACTCCATAAGTTGAAATCTGATCTCACCAGCTAACCAAACAGATACTGTCACGGTTCTTTTGGTGCTCAGCAAGAGAAGATCAAGTCCCCTAGCCCTCTCACTCTCTGCAACTCACAACCAATCAGCAAACATCACATCCACGAATTAGGCAACACGGTGGCTCAACTATTCAAACTCGCAGTTCCACAGATCCAAAAACTCCATTGTAACAGGAACTCAGCAATCATCGCGATACCAAAATCTCTCGGTTCATCAACGTTCTGCTATTTCCTGCAACTGAGGCCGCTAGGAGTCCCGTCACTGAAACCAAAGCTCTATTTCCGCAAACGAAAAGATCTACCCAACACCTACAAATGGCTCCTACAAACATCGTCGACAGAATCCAGAAACTACATGAGCTTCGATCAGTGTAACAAACCGAAATCGCTCGAATTCGAAGACCTTAAATTAGGGGTTTCTATGATCCTTCACCCGGACGACAAATCCCAAGCCCAGCTCTCCGCATGAAGAAGAATAGCAGAGTTTTTATCACTAATTGAAGCGACTGGTGGCCTGCTTGCGATTTAGCGCCAAATTTGGTTGTGTTATTGAGAAGAAGAAGAAAAAAAAAAAAAAAAAAAAAAAAAAACATTTAAAATTTGATTCTCGAACATGATTGCGATGGTAGAATTTAGGTATTCGATAATTGGATACGTATATCGGGAGTAGCTTTTGATGGGAGCTCTCCTTTTTTGGATGCTACTATTAACTTTTTTTTTGACGCGGACTAATCACTAAAGTTGGGGGATGCTTGAATAACCTACATGATTTTGTTGGATTATGACCTAAATTTATAAATTAGTTCACATGATGGACAGAATTCACAACAGAATAGTTCACATTGAAACTTTCTAATTATCAAAACTTGGGTTGACGTGTCCATTTTATGATGTTCACAAAATTTTAAATAAGTCATTTGAAATAAACCGCATTTTTATTTAGAAAAAAATAATAATCAATGGTTTTTCAAAAAATTAAAATTTGGAATTTCAATATTTAGTGCACAGTAAGGAATACATGTGTACTTTGATTTTTTATTACTGTGCTGGATTATTTTTTTGAAGAAACATAATAACTCGTGGTTAAAATGATTTAAATAAAAATTAATTATTAAAAAAACACATGTGTTTTGTAACAAATACAAATAAAACATATTGCTATGATATGATTTTTTTAATCACATGCCCAAAAATATTTCAAAATGCAATATATTTTTCTTTTCTAGAATTTTCGACATGATATGTTTGGATAAATATTACTTACTAAAAATGAGTTTTTGATGAAACATATTCTAAACACCTTCTGTAGACATGCACTTTTTTTTCAACTATTATTCCTGCCATTATCTTAAAATGTTTTTTTTTAATGTGTTTTGATAATCTAAGGACAAGTGATGACAAAATGCCACGTTATATTTATACACAAAGGAATTTTGTCAATTGTGACCATTTGATTGCATGATGGTGTATTAGGATCATTGTTTCCTATAATTTAAATTCTGTGGCCAAAAGGAATCAGAATGTTTTGTATTTAAGAACAGGAATATTTCTATGTTCATGTGTGGTATATTTGGATGGACATAAGACAAAGTACTTAATGTTGTATAGGATATTAAATGCTTTGTTGGTCTATTTGAACTTGTGGAAGTTCAAGGTACAAGTAAATGTGTGTGGGTTATGTAAATTGTGAGAGAAATAAATAAATAAATAAAACTATCTTATAAATTTTCTAACACATGCATTGGTGCTCTTCTATATTGCACGCAATGTTACATTGTGCTCTTCTAAATACAATTCAAATTTGCTGTTTAAAGACTATTAAATGATGAAGTTTTCTTCTGTAATGATAGGCTTGCACCCACATTTATCAAACCAACCACTTTGGTCCATTGATTCAAAGAATCAAATCTGAATGCTTCAAATTTCAACATATTAGTCACGAGAAAGGTGTTGTGAAAATTCTGAAAATTTTATGTATTGAAAAGAATAATTACAATAATAATATGTCAGTTAATTAAATGTTATTAAATAGATAAAATCAATACAATCATTTTAATTACATTTCAAAACATGCTGATTTTTATGTCTATATATATATATATATACATATATCATAAATATTGAATTAAATGTAATAGGAATAGATTGTAACATACAGCTTACTTAGAAATAGGAACTAACAACTCTTTACAAATGTATAATATTTTATTGACATGTTATTTTGACCCAACTGAAAAAAATCAATGTAATAAGAGATACATAAAATGCAAGATCTTATTTTGAAGATATGTGCAATTCAATAAATTTAATAGATAAAATGAGGTGAGAATGTTATATATATATATATATATATGTATGTATGTTTTTTTTTCATATGCATATAATAGCAATGGAGCTCCTTGTATTGCTTTGGGAGTAATATGTAAATATAGTTGGATTTTTAGTGTTTATGGAGGTAGAAATTAGCTACTACATATATTACTTCTTTACAACAGCATCCTAACTAAAAAATTACAATTAAAAAATAGCATATGTTTCTAGCAAAATGGATCACACTACAGTTAAAGCCAATGGAATGCAGCTCTTTGTATCAATCTTTGATATTGAGTCTCTTTTTATACCTTTCTCATTGATTGAGACACTCAAATAAGGGAAGAATTGACCTACAATTTTGGATAAACAAATAGATGAATGGATACATAAAGAGATGTAATGCTCTTTGGATAGATGTCTTATTTTTATTACTTTAATTTTAAAAATTGCAATTCTTAATCTATTATTTTATAAATAAATAGCTAAATAAACACATGAAGAAATAGATGATATAATTTGAATGGGTGCACAGACGTACACAAACCACTATCTTTATAATACAAATAATACATATATAATATTCTCAAATAAATTGAAATCTTATTTGTGGGAACAAAGAATCCTACTCAATCCAAAATTTAATGTTCATAAATCTTTTAATGTCACAAAGCACAATATAACCATAAGAATTGAGTCATCAAAAATTTGACTCTTCAAAGACTTATAAGTTTCAAGTTCTTCAACTTTAGATTTTATTCTACCTAAACAAAATTTACTGCAAAAATTGTTTATTATTTATTTATTCAAATAGCATTTTCCACTTGCAACTCCTATTAAACATAAGCATATTATTAATGTTAATACTTGAGTTTCTACATACTAGTTGCCACCTTCAAAAGATCATTTAAACATAACAATATTAAATTTTAAAAATATATTTTATTTATTCTTATAAATAGAAAAGTAAAAGAATTAGACTCCCAACATGAAAACATAGCAAGTTATAAATATAGACGATGTGAATTAAATCCTATCATTGTTGTTATACTTGCAACTGCCAGCAAATCAACCTTTGTTTTTAAATAAATTAGAACTCGTACACTTGAATAAAAAAAAAAATACAAAAAACACAAATTAGATTAATCAAAATGAATATATTAAATATAAAGTGACTTCTTTAATAACCTTCACATTGCAGAAACTTTTTATAATTTAAATTTGAAACATTTGAAAGATATATTTAAATGGTTTTAAAATATAATGTAAAATGTGTTTAAAACTGATGTTTTAACCTGTCTATTGTTATATATGATTTTTATAATTTCTTTATTTTTAGCATTGTACATTTTTACGCAATAATTTTAATATCTATAAAAGAATTAGAATGATGTTTTTGCAAATCAATCCTTGTGCATAAAAACTGCGTTCAATAAGTTAACTTTTTAATCAGGAATTACTTCTTATTGAATATGTCTAATATTTAAATATTTAAATATTAGATATATATATATATATATATATATATATTAATGAAGTCAATTCACTTTCTTGACATTGTCAAACTTTTATAGAAAAACCTTACTTATGATTTATTTTTTTTAAATTCATGTAGGTCATTTAAAGCATTGTGGCTATTAGCTTTTATTTTCTTTTATTTTGGCACAAGTAAGAGGTTACAACCTATGTGTTCAAGAAAATAGTTCTTAGTAGTATTAGAGAAAAGTGAAATAATTCGTTGCTTTTATTGAGATACTTGTATTATCAGGGGTACGCTGTTCAAAACTTGTTTGTATGCAAAATATGTGAAAAGTTTCTTTTGACAAAGACAAAAACTGAAGTTATGATTTATTATAGTCAATATAAAATGTTCATAAAAATTGTCGAAAAGGACAAACTGAAAAAGATAAGGTTTCATAATAGTTATCGTGATACTAATATTCTGTCTGTGGACATTTATTGTTGTATCATACAGATTGATAAACATTAGGCATCCATTGTTCTTGTACACATAAAAGTGGTCCTTATATATATAAATTTGTAATAAACAATAAAATAAAAAATTTGTACACAATGTTGTTAACCACTAAAAATATCATCTTATGGTGTAACGAATATCATAAAAAACTATCAGCTTAATTTTGACAGTTATGCTCATATATATATATATATATATATATATCATTCTCTTGTACACATTAACCACATCTAATTTATTTTGGTTTAATTAGATATGTTTTGATTGAGGCATTTAAAAACAAAAAAAAACATAGAATATCCAATAAGTGTGATATAAATGATTATATAAATATTATATAAATAATACATATATAATATTTAAAATTTTATTTCATTTTGCTCACTTGTATATGTTGGTGTATATATCTTTCGAATATTTAATCTTAAAATAAATAAATAAATAAATAAAAACTAGTCTCAAAGAGTGTATAGAGCACTCTTTGACCACTCTTTAATAAACTACAATCCTACTTGTGTATTATATATATATATATATATATATATATATATAATTAATTGAGTGTGTGGGTGTGAAATAAGTAAAACCAATGGATATTAGAAAATGTCCACCCTAATTTTTTAAGTTAGATAATTATAGAAATGAGTACTTAATGCTTGTTCACACATAAATAATAGAATAGTTTTCATTGCGTAATCACCCAGTCAAAATACTTCATGAATAAAGTCTGAATAATATGTATTTTAAAGATCTGACAAAAGATTCAAAAACTATTAGCACAATTTAAATAGGGAGTTGTTAAAACCACACCCCCCAAACCATATAATGATTAATTTTGGGGGATAGGGAACAGGGCACAGGGTTGGGAATGGAGGAGAAGGGACATGGAACAAGGGACATGGAACAAGGGACATAGACAGGGATGGACGGAATTGCTCATGAGATAGTAATGTGGGGTGTGGCTTTAGCAACTCCCTTTTAACATTTGAATAAATAGGTGATTTTTTTTAAAAAAAACACTCTGCTCATAAAATCAAAATCTCTATGTGGAGCTCTATTAATAAAACTGATGACTTAATTTTAGCAATGCCTTATTAATTAGTTTTAAATATCAATATGTGCAGTGTTTTAATACAATGCACATTGATTAATCTAAACTAATAGTTAAAAAATGAAATGAAGTCTTAAGATTGACTAATAATCATTTGTCAAAATAAGTTTTTACATCACAAATGCAACATCAACACCACGTGCATGCATACACACACATACACATGTAAAACTTGTTCTTCATAATTGATTAACGAAGAGGCCCAGAGAATGAATCACGCCACAAAAAATTATATCGTCATCTTTTTGAGCCAAAATACCATATTATAACACCTAATTTAGGTGTTTCAGTAGAGTAAGCATTTATCCAAGCAACAAGGAATGTACAAGAACAAACCCACCAGGTAGGAACACAGAAAACATCCATCCACGAATTCAATCCCAAAATATTCATCCAAATTGGAGAACGGCGATCGGCAATTGGCGGAGGGAACAAGGGAACACAGTGGAATTACAGGCAGAGAGCATGATGAGGAGGCTAGTGGAGGAGGAGGACGTGGAGAAAGGCATTAGAATAAGTTAAGCGCAGGGAACGGCTCTAAGGGAGCGGGAACGAGGAATCCAGGCAAGGGAACGGCAATTTCCGGCGAACGGGTGGGCGAAAGCGGGTTCCCTCGGGAGTCGTAGGGTGGGGGGATGCGGAGTCAAACCGGAGCTTGGCGCGGGGGACGCCTGGCCGTGCGCAGGGCAGCCAGCGAAGTGGCCCTGGCGCGCAATACTACAGCCCAGCCTGGACTCACCTCCACTGCGGTTCTTTCTGCTAGCATACCGACGCCGTTGGGAACCCCACCACCCCCACGCCCTCCCCGTCCCCCTGCGCCGTGGGGCCCGATCCCGCACGAGCAGGAGCGGGGCAGGGTGACAAGCGGGCCCCACCGTCATTGGCGACACGCGAGAGCTCCAAGCTGCTCCTCCGCAGCCGAGACGCTGCGGTTCTTGTCTCATTTGCAGCCCCACTGTCATCGAGCCCTCCCTCCTCCCCCGCGCCAGCCCTTGGCCCTGGCTCCTTTTCTTCTTCACCTGACCTCTTGTTTTTATTTTTCGCGGCAGAGATCTCATGTTCTATTTCATATTTGCTTGCGTCTCTTACCTCATCCTTCTACGCATCAATGTTTTCTCTTCCGAAACTGCCTAGTAGTGGGCCCCTTAACTCCTTTCGTGATTCGGTCGTTGTGTCTTTGTGACACTAGAGGTTTAAGGTTTCTATCAGAAAAATGAAAGGACCATTCACAGGTGCAGCTGCAAATTTAGGTGTTGTGTAGCTTGCTAGTGCTGACAGGTCTTGTGCGCCTGCTGGTTTTGCAAAGGTGCAGAGTACATAGCTGCGTTGAGAATGCTCTGAGACCATTGTAATTTAGACAAAAATTGCGGGGGGGTTTGGACAGGTTTAGTGTTCGGTATTTTCCGAGAATCGATTTCGTGAGAAAGGTTCAAGGGTCTTGTAGCTTCAGGTAGCGAAAATGGGAAGAGTGAAGTTAGAGATTAAGAAGATCGAGAATCCAACGAACAGGCAGGTAACGTATTCCAAGAGGCGAAACGGTCTCATTAAGAAGGCATATGAGTTATCAGTTCTTTGCGACATCGACATCGCATTGATCATGTTCTCACCTTCAGGCAAACTCACTCAGTACAGTAATTGCAGGTTCGAATCTCGATCTTCACAGATAATGCGCGTTTATTCATGTCAATTGCAGTCTTTGTGGACGTCAAAGAGATCCTTGCAGATTGCTAAGTTCTACAGTGGCTCCTGTCCGGACCAGATTGTTTGTGGTTACAGCTTCTTTGGTGCTTGTGCTGTGTGTTCGAACTGGTCACTCTCCAGGTTGTTAAATTTGATCTGTTATTTGCATAAATACTCTCACCACTACCGTCAAACGAACGTCTATCTATGAGAAAATTAAAATCACCGAGTGTACGCTGTGAACCTTCCAGTCTACTCTTCAGCTGGTGCTCTTTTTGGTTTATGAGTCGGAAAACAATAAAAAAAGCATTTGGTTCACTCCTTGGATGTTCCAATCCACAATACATTCCAGAGTGACTTACTGGTGCTTATTCCGGATCATGAGACAGCACGATCGTCTCACGGTTGAGCCTGGACGACTTGTGCATTTCATAAAGATTGGAGAATTAAGACATGTTCATTGTGATGCAGTATCGAAGATGTCATTGGTCGGTTCGCCAACTTGCCAATGCATGAGCGGAACAAAAGGTAAGAAAATCGCTTCGTTGAGAAAGTTAAGTTTGACGTTGGAATTCCTTTACCTTAAAGCAAGCCACAATATGGAATCTGAGATTAAATTCCTTACACTTTTGCAGTTTTGAGGACATGCTAACGCGGTTTGCGAATTTCCATATGATTCATGATCGGAACAAATACAATAGGTTCGAGTCCCTCTAATTATATCTCCTTGAATTGGTATTATATTCTCTTGCCGACTTCGGTGCTTATCATGTATTTTTGCAGTGTTGGATATGTTCTAACGAATAGTTACGTTGGAATGTGCCCGCTTACCATCTCCCGCGCGGCTGTATTTGCATCGTTCAGAAAGATCGAGAACTTGGAGGTGAGTGGAGCTCTATCTTTTAACTACTTGCGTGGTTTTAGAAAGAATTCTAACTTTGAAGTATTACTAGTCAGCTTGCTAATTCATAGACTGCTATGCATGTCAAGTCGCTTGTACTAAGCAATCTGTCCTCGACTGCAGTATCTTCACAAAGCACTGAAAAAGCTTGCGGGAGAGAAAGACCTTGTGTCAAATCAACTTCTGCTGAATGGCAGGTTGGAACTGTCTCTGTCTCCAGTGTTTTGGAATTACTATGCAGATCTACAACCGGTTTTGTGGACTGAAATGCATTGACGCAGTTTCTGTGTGTTCACTTCTTGAGAATTGAGTTTTACGGACAATCTGTTTGCGTATTTTATATGCTAACATCCTATCCCCCCTGGATTGTGTTGTGCATTGGGACTGCAACAGCAAGAGCTACGAAGTTGGGGTGAGTAATCACTTTGCACGGCAATAGTGTTTCGTTCTGGTACGCGAAATATTGGTTGTGCTGGTTGAGAAATTCAGCACAATGTTAAACAAGTGTGAAATATATATATTTTTGGAATGTCCAGCTCAACGAGTGTTTTTTTGTTTTTTTTCTTGTCCTGTGGTGTTTGTCATTAGACAAGCTATACCTGAATGTGATGGTTAGCAACGTAAAAGAGTTGTAAACTGAATTTACACTATGTCAAAATGAGCAGTTGTTGCAAGAAGAGTTGAAGAAATCACAACAGGAGAAGGAGCTTGTGCAACAGCGAGCGAGGTTATATCTGGCAGACGAGCAACTGCTGCAAAGTATTACCTCCGTCCATGAGTTAGCCAACATGGAAACCGAATTAGAACAAGCACTCGAGAGAGTGCGAGCTAGGAAGGTACTTGCATTTAGTTACTCTTGTTTCATCTTTGTTTCATAGTGAACAATTTTTGAATTCGTTGGAATCTCAACAGCGATGTGGCCTGTACAGAATTATGTGAGCAGTGCATATGAGGCTGCTAGTGTTATGCAGAGACAACAACACGAATTCTTAGGGAACAGTTATCAACAGGTTATTACCAAGATTCATAACTGCAAACTAGCATCGATTATGTAGTACTTCAGTCTACTTCAGCAATGCTTGCCTCTAAGGGAGCAGTTTCAAACCCCTATAGACTTGAGGTTTCTTTACGAACATGTGTTTTCTAAAATGATCCATATATTAATTATCCTCTTTAAATATTTGGTATTTACAGATGATAGCCATGCGTCAACAGCAGCAGCAGCAACAACAACACCATCAGCAGCAGCAAGCCGGCATGACAGGGACACAATCATCATTCTTGCAATGGCCTGTGCAAGAGCGTGGAGAGGCTACTCTTCAAGATTTTATGGAGCAACAGACGAATCCTGCTGCTGCACTCATGCCAACACCGTTAGCGAGGTGATAAGACGATCAGCAAATTATATTGAGATTCATAGGTCTATTTGATCCTTAAGTTTTCCTATATTCACGGTCGCGAATATATATATATATATATATATATATATATACACACATATGTGTACTTATGTCTATGCTAACCTCTTGTTCCCCGTCTTCTTTTTCAGCCGGGAGGTGCCTAGCAGTGGTGAAGCGAATTCTACTGGTTTTTTTGGATCTGCGTCACAATCAAGTTTACAATCACTGGGACATATCAATATTTTGGGTGGTAATCGAGGTTTGAGCATACATGACATGGCTATGGATCAGTCTTCTGCTCAGTATGACGATCACAAGAAAGCCAAACTTGAAGCGAGTATGGGATTTGCCTCTTCACCTGGTAGAGCTGCTGCAGAAGCAGCTGCAGATACTTTTACAAATCAGTCTGAGCATGGAAGCGCCACCAATTCTAATTGGCACCAGGCACACCACCATGCTCAAGCATACACAAATTCCCAGTATCCAACAGGATACTTTACTCAGGTACAAAACTTACTCCCTATCAACGTGACATTTGGAGCTTATCCAAACTCATCGAGTTCGATTTCTTTTGTCTTTTTTTGTCTATGGCATGTTTCAAGTCAATCCTGAAGACCTTTCTTTCTCGTGTACAGAGTGCCGATGCATGGAAATAATATTTGGAATAGCATCAGTGTGGAGAAATTTGAAATGGGATTGGCAAGTATTCAAAGGGGGGTGTTCAGTGAGCATGAAGATGAACCCGTGCTCTTGAATAAGCGAGTTGAAGCTGTATTGATTTTGCTGGTTAACAAAAAGCATGTGGACATCAACGATTATTGAAAACTTGGGTCCAGTGATGGAAGGTGATCAGTGAGAGTGCTGTTCGGACAGTAATCACTAATATCTGTTTTGACTCTTGGCCCTCCGATCGACAGGTCTTCCGCCGTCCCCTTAAAGTCACATCGATCCATACCAAATCGTGTTGAGTGTAGCGTAGGGTTAAAAGGAGGACAAGCTTCGACACGCGATGACAACAATGAGAATGAGACATTTCGGACTTGCCATCAGGAATGGCTCTTCTTTTGAAATTATAAGCGACAGAGTCACGTACCGGATGTGAGAAAAATCCCAGAAGCCAAGACTGATGTCTGGTGTGTCGAACCTTGTCCCGCCACTGAAGACTTTAGCGGCAGCTGTTTGGTACCGTAGTCAAAGTCTTAGTTGATTTAGGTTCCATATCATTATGTAACAGTGGGTAGAGGTGCAGCCCACCACTTTCCCAAGTATCTTCTTGGTCACTATTTTTCGAACTTGTTAGTTTAGAGTGGATTGTGATTCAATTCTTGAAATATTAATGAACTTGAAACACTTAATGTAGGGCCTTTTTCCCACTGTTGAACGTTCTGCTGATGTCCAGGGTTAGAAGTGTCTGCACTGTCCAAGGAAATCCTCACTTTCAACATTCGGTTGATTTGTTTCATAGTATCATTAATTTGTCTGTTTATACAAATCTAAATGCCCTCCACATTCCGTTCTCATCTTCTTCTTGTTTCCTAAAATTTTGAAGGGATATATCAAGAATTTCCGTTAGTTTCTCATTGTTATTTGTCTGTGACAGCAGTTTTCGTCTCCATGGGGATGATTGAATTGATCTAAGGACCAAGCAAGGGTACTAGATTGATAATTGGAAAGTACTCAGAAACTGACAGCTCAGTGTGGAGAATCCGATGGTACTTCGGAATGAAACAATAAGGTTAGGACTAATAATTTACATTTGAGAAAAAGCAGACAGAGAATAAAGAGAGAGGGGAAGAAAAGGAAAAAGGTAAAGGAGCCACAACTTTGTCGAGGCTCGAGGCGATGGCGGATCGGTGGATCCATTACGCGTGGGATATCAGGTATTCCAATGACACGAGAGATTTTGTCAAGCTTTGCCGAATGGGGTTCGTCCGAGGCGGAGGAGGTCAACTGGAGCTGATAGGTGCCCAGACTAGATCCTGTGAATCGCGAATTCTCATCCGGCTGCCCACATTCTCGTGCACGTCGCCTCCAATAGGGGCCACGCCGACCCGCAGCTCCCCTGTGCGGCTGGCCACGCCGCGGGGCCCAGTAGCTGGCAGCGCATCGATGCCATCGATGAGCCGTGCAGCGCTCCCCAACTCCGCTGCCATGCATCTGCGTCTCTGGGTCCCATGACAAAGCGAAATGATGAGGGAATAGCCGAGGTCGATCGAATGCTCCACATTGAATCCAGGAAGGAGGGAGCAGTCTCACGAAGTAACCCACTTTTTCATAATGAGCCGCGATGATTATCATTAAAAAATTACAAATATTTCTTTAAAAACTAGGAGCTTGACATTTGTTGAGAGTTGTGACGTGGGCGTTAGATTGGATCGAATTTAAACAAGCTCGAAAATTACGTTTCTCCTTCCAACGCCTTCGACTGTCACTGTAGCCCCTCCTTCGTTGCGATTTAACATTACCAGTTCGATATCTACTGGTTGTATAGTCAGCGCTAGAACTTCAGAAGATGCAGGATTGATTTCGCTAATTCATGGAGCAATGAACGACATGAATTAGCGAAGTCAATCCCATCTTCAGCATCGAATATCGAAAAATCGGTCTCTGGCACATTAAAGCGCTCGTGCATCAGGTTAGTCCAACACTCAACAAGATGCTTCCTAACTTGACGCCGAAAAGATCGTTTGGGTCCACCATGGATCAGACCCTTCGAAGCGCGAGCCACGATAAGAGCGACAATGGGAGGCATTTTAAATTCGGGGTGAGATTAATGAACTCGCATTAATAGCATGCCACTTGACTTGAAACTTTTCGTATCCGATTCACTCCGATCACACGAATTCCTCTTCCAACTTTGTCAGAATGCGCAGGCGAAACTTGCCTTCTAGCTATTTGCAATCTTCTAGAGTTTAGCTACACTTCGAGTCTTCCTCCGACCACGGCATTGGTGGGGGTGTTGGTCTCTGGCGCCCACTTCTTCTTTTGCGCGCTAAACCCTTTAGAAGCAGTCGACGATGTCAAAATATGTATGATTTTCAGTATAGTCACTCATGTTGCGCTATTTGGTTTCGTTTTAAAAATATATCCACAGGTCTGGTGAGCGACTTTTATTCATTTGCTTGCGCCTGTCCGGTTTTCACTGAACTGTAGTACGTGTGTACCGAAATAGATAATTCAAAGAAAAGCGTGGTAGGCTTTAGCCCCCGAGGATCCGTGAAAGGTGTCGCCTCCTTGGAGTTGGAGTCCAGCCGCAGATATTGCGGCAGGACAAAGTTTTGCTGATTAATGCATCAAGCTGACGGAGTACTTCTCCCTTGGACTCTCAGTTGGGTTTGTATTCTTCCTCCAGCGCTCCTGCATGAAGCTCATTTCGCAGGCGCTTAGTGATGAACTCCGCACCTAGTACAGAATGAGGTCATCGAAATTAGACAGCGCTGCTGATCTGATCCACCCGTTCCTTAGTTAATGCCAGTAACTGTTGGTACGTTAGACTTCATGGCTTTCGTTCTCTGCATCAACTCTCAATTTAGATGACTCCGCAATACGTGATTTATTTTTACTAAATTAACGAACAAAGTCATGATTCAGGAACCGCACAAGGTTGGATTTCGCTTCACTTTTAGGGATGGTTGTGTTTAGCTATTCCATTTCAACGCTGAACAACGCCTTTACCTACATGGAGAATCAGAACCGTTATGTCGTGTGTGCGAAAGTTCTAGCACAGCGATCAATCTGACGTGAACAATCCGGAGAAGCCCATATGCCTGCCACAATCTTCCAGCATGTCAGTGGAAAGCATGGGGTGACGAGTGGATACGTGGACTTCCTGTGATGCATCGTGTCAACAATTTAGGAGTCAACGAAGCTCAGTCTCTGTGGTATAGGCCTCGATTGAAACTCGTAGACCCGAATGAGAGTTCCGTTTTTAGTAGGAGCCGCTTGTTACAAGTGAAATCTAGGTATTTCAAAGCCAAATATGGTAAAATAACAAAGCTGCCTGGCTTGATAAAAATAGTGATGGTTCACCCCCATTCTGTTCGTAAGTCTTAACACTTAGTATTGCTCCTAAGTGGCTAGTAGCAACCATACTCCATTGTGATTGCATGATTATGTACATGCACAGTATTCTGTTGGCTGAGGTTGCTGCAAGTGGGCACGAAGAAATTCAGGGAGCTTTGACAACAGGCTATCGAACAACTGGGATTCTTCGAAGAGTTCCGACAGGGGCAAAGAAACTGTCATTGTGGATGAACTTGGGGGAGGTTTGGCTCATGGGGCTGGATCTGCAGGGTGATGAGGAAGAAGTGGGGCTCAACTTTATCCGCATGAACAGCAGTGTCCGCATTCTTCCGCGGGACCCACTTGTTGCAAGGGTCCACCAGTGGGCTACTTCTCCCTTCTTGGCTAACCCATGGTTAAAGATCACCTTGGGAAGGCCCTTCTACGTCAAGGGATTCCTCCCCCACTTCCTGATGTCGAGATTGAGGGTTTTTCTTTGCCGACGCGCTGGCTTGTTCGGAATTGGTTGACGAAAACTGGGCAGTAGTAACCGTTTCAGTTTCCATTACATTACGCCACGTCGTTGTTGTGGTCGCTGAGTGCTTGCGTCAGATGGTGCAAGTGGAAGACGGTGCGGCCTTCGACATAGCGAGAGTAATGTGGGGGGGGGTTGATTGCTTGAGCATGAGATACATGGAGGTGGACACTGCCGGAACTCATGACAACTCTGTTTACGCATATGTGTAGAGGAAGAACCAGGCATACGTGTATGCATTTATTCGCGGATTATGCCCGGAATTTAGACAGCGGTCGTCTCATGCTTGGGTGGTTACAGGAGAAAGAAAGGAGAAAGAGACTCGGAGTTGGAAGGTGGCTGGGTTCGTCCGGCAGTGCAGTCTAAGACGGGATTACGGCAGCGGCAGAGATGGGGAGGGTTAAATTGGAGATAAAAAAGATCGAAAATCCGACCAACAGACAGGTAACGTACTCCAAGAGACGCAACGGGCTCATGAAGAAGGCATATGAATTATCAGTGCTGTGCGATATTGACTTGGCGCTCGTCATGTTCTCGCCCTCCGGCAAGCTCACGCAGTATTGCAATTGCAGGTAGTGTGATGTTCCTACACACGGCCTGCTATAGTATCATATAAACTTTTGCGATATAGCATTAGTGCCTCTGAAACTAAGAGACACTGTTTAAATTGTTCTGTACATTACAACCTGGACATCGAGATTGTTCTGAGCGGAGATTGTCTTGCTATGCCGTTTGATGCATCCTCCAATGCAATCGGAGCTGCACCAACCAGTTCATTTCTTTAGCTAATTAGGACAGGAATGTTGAGGGGTGCCCTTTCGCGAATTATTGCTCAACTCGCTTCTTAATTGTGCAAGGATGTAAGGCGTTTCACCTCATGATTGATGAGGGGAAAAGGAGAATTCCTTCTGAAAGACCTAGAGTGGATGTTTTGGTTGGTGATTTAGATCGGAAGGCGACGTTTTAATGAGTTTAATTACATGCCATAAAGGACTCCACTCTGATGTAGAGGTTAGCAGGCGGAACTTCGCTAGTTTTGTGTGACATCTGCTCTGACTTGGACAATCTGCTTTGTGACGCAGTATAGAAGAAGTAATTGGTAGATTTGCCAATCTGTCCATGCACGAGCGGAACAAAAGGTACGTACATGTTTAGGGGCTTATTCCGACCTTTCAATCTTTCTGGCCTCATCGTTTGCCGTCCTATATCCTCTTTTGATTGCGTGTAATAAATTCAGTGCATAGTGGATCAACAATACGCTTGTGTGTTGCTGCAGTTTTGAGGATATGATGACACGCTTCTCGAATAATCAAATGCATCATGATCGCAGCAAATATAACAAGTGTGTATCTATTTCTCCCCGCATTTGTTTCAAGATTGCTACTATCAGTGTCCCAGTTGTTCTGGGCTTCCTGCTACTTTTAGATCGTTTCTGAGCGTGTTTCAGTAACCTCTGGTGAATAGTTTTATTCTTCGGATCATGATTCCACTTGTAACTTTCGGTGTTCTGATTAGCGACTTGTGTTATCTGTCGGAACTATCTTTTTCAGGAAGGTTGAAAACTTGGAGGTGAGTTTAAGTGTTTTTGGTCAAACCCTTGCATACTTCTCGTTGCTCATACCATTAAAGCACAACATTGGGCTCACCCACAAATTACAACAGATAGGTATCGTAAAAGCAGCGATATCAGAAAAGAAAAAGAAAGAGAATTGGACTTGGCTAAATGGCGTTATGGTTTGCGTGAACGCAGCACCTGCACAAGGCATTGAAAAAGCTCGCTGTGGAGCAGGATCTTGTAGCGAGTCACCAGCTCTTATCTGTGAGGTGAAAATTGTTGACGACTTCAATTTGTTGAGAATGATATTTAATTTTGTAGGGTCTCTGCATTCAGGGAGAACATATGAAATTCTATTCATTAACCCTGTAACTGCTACATCAAGATGCAAATGTGGGACTTCGTAAACGTTATGATACTCATTTGTGTTAGGGTTTGTGGGTGTTTTCTCCTGCATTGTGTGAATATTTTCATCAGTAAAACAACTTACGAGTTGGAGGTATTTCTCGTCCTCATCTTTTATAATTTCTTTCATGCAACATGTCATTGTGATGAGAGCCTTGAGTGTCCTTGTCGGTTGTAATAGACTGTGCATCTAGAATATATTCTCTTATGATATCAGGCTTAGGGTAACGACTCACCAATGGTTTAAACTCTCCTTGAAAATTAGTAACTGCAACTCAAAATTTTGATTAATGACGTAGGAGGAAAAATTTATCGTCTAGTTTTTCATATTTCTGGTATCAAAGATTTTGCAGCAGGAGTTAAAGAAATCACAACTAGAGAAGGAATTGGTGCAACAACAAGCAAGGTGCATCATTAGTTTATACTTTTCTCATACATTCAAGTTTTAAGGAATCTGATTTTAGATTTTCTTGACTGGCTTGTTTTGATAGTTTATTCATGACGGAGAGATGACTTGACCAGTAAGGTTGTTGTTTTATTCTCAGGTTGTATTTGGCGGATGAGCAGCTTTTGCGAAGGGTTTCATCCGTTCAGCAGCTTGCTAACATGGAAACCGAATTAGAGCAGGCACTTGAGCGAGTGCGAGCAAGAAAGGTAGGCGAACGTATATCTGTTTCTGTTTGTGCTTTAGTTAAATAGTCTTCTTATAAGTAGGTTTTATTTCTGAAACAGAATTTCAACATGTATCCAGTTTTGATATGATATATCTCGCTTGATGTAATGTGTAGAATTATGTGAGTAGTGCTTACCAGACTGCAAGTGTAATGCAGCGACGGCAACATGAATTTCTTGGGAACAGTTTGCAGGTATTCATATCTTCAAAGTGAGCACAGTCATAGATTTTAATCTTTAGTTGCAACTTTCCAATTTTACAATACTTAACCCAATCTAATTTCAGTTAGCTGTTAGAACAATAAGAATGATGGCAACGAATTTGTGACTTCTCAACCCTTTTCTACATCGTAGACGTGGAAACTGTTCACTATGAACTCTGTGCTAGTATTCAACTTGGGAATCAGCCTTGACTTTCGCAAACCTGGTCTTCATTTAAGCATGCACGTATAAGTTCATAGTACTGCTCGAATGGATAACCCAGGGTTTTGGTTGCCATGCAGATGATGGCACTGAGACAGCAGCAAGCCCAGCAACACCAGGCAGGGATGGCACCGACTCAGCCGTCATTCTTGCACTGGACTATGCAAACCGAGCGGTCAGCTCCTACACCTCAAGATTTCATGGAACAGCAAACCAATCCACCTACATCACTTGTGCCTGCATCACTTAGCAGGTGATTGCCCATATCAGGTCCTCTTTCGTAAACTGTGATTAATCGGATACCTTCCAACGTATATCGCCAGTTGGCTTATGCTATGCTGAATTTGGTTCTATTTGTAGGGAGCTAGGAAGCGAAGGTGAAGCAAATCTCATTCCAGGCTATTTTTCAGCATCGCAACAACATAGTAATTTAGAAGGACTGCGGCAAGTTGGGATGGGGGTCAGCCGAGGATTGACCATGCACGATATGTCTCTCGAACAACCGAATGCGGCTCATTATATTGAGGAGGAAAAGAAAGGCAAGGTTGAAGCCAGCATGGGCTTTGTTACCTCAGCTAGTGCTGCGGCAGTCGGCACTGAAGGAGACTCAGAGACTAATTTAACCCGTGTGCAATCTGAGCAGGCTCATGGCATCACTAATGCTTCAGATTGGCCGCCACGTCCGGCTAACCACCATCCTAATGCCTTAGGAAACGGCAACCTGTTTTTTAGCCAGGTAATTTGTTTCGCAAATTCCGTGCTGCATGGGTTCGACAATCAAATCGGCATGCACAGATGCAAGTTACGATAATTCAAACCTGTAGCCTTGTCTGTCGTTAAGTCTTCGCATGTTGTGTGCAGAATGGACATCATGCGTGGAAATGAGGCAATCGCGTTGGTTTGAGCTTTTAGTTGTAGACATGTACTTGGAGGAGTAGGTTCATATTGTATTCAGACCAATATCCGGGTCATATTAGAATTTTGCGGCGACAGCGTATCAGTTGGCTTTATCGAGCTGAGTCCGAGACATCGTATCAACAAGTTTTCGAGTGGCGCATTTGAGACTATGAATCTCACCATTGATTGAATTTTGGCCACTAATATCCCGACAATATGCACTGTGAGAGCCAATCCTCTGGTGTGTTCGGTACAACCCACCTTACGTATGAAAAAAGAAATTGCCATCCACATTGCAATTTCAGATTTCAGCATATGAATTGCGCAAGTGATTCAGCAGATTGGTTGTGTAACTCCTATGCTCCTGTAATACACAGCGTCGTATTTAGAGAAACATGACATTATCACTACAGCAATCCAAGGCAAAGGAGTTGGCGATGACGGCTCTGGTGAGTCCATGCCTACCCTTGTATTCCTACTGTGTTCTTTTGCAAGCAGGTTGTACTATGGTGCTGTGACTTGTTTCTAGCAATGTCTTACACAATAGCTGTTATCACAGACTTGACATGATATCATAAGACGCATAATTTCTTTATATCTCAAAAGTGCATACAAACGTGTAGATGTGAAGAAACGGAACCGATTATATTCAGATTGAGAGCCACAATGGGTGTGGGGAGAAGCTTCAAACGAGCTAAGTAGGTAAAGTAGAGAGGTATTGGTATTTGCACTCTTGTAGCCCCTGAAGGCATTGACAAGCGGAAAACTTCATTGGTAGCATTTTGGATGGCCTTTGCTTGATCTGCTCTGCAACAAGCAGGCATATTCAAACCTCCGCAATACCCTCAAGCATCACTCACGTTGTGAGAGATAGCGACAAGATAGCGCAGAGGGAGTTACGAGTTGAAGTTGGAATATTTGTGTATTCTCAACCATCATGATTCTTAGATACACACAATTGTTTCATTAGAGGACGTAATATGTAGTGTAGTAACAAGTGAGTTCACACCATGTGGATTGAACAGCATGCTCATATTTCTTTCCTGAATATTGAACTTTAAAAAACATGTTTCGCTAAATATGAGGGAATTTCGTCGTATCATCCAGAAACATTCGCCATTTCATTCTACCCTTTCAAGAAATGATATTCGAGCATGTACATGAGCATTCGCAGACGTTGAATTTAAAGAAGACGTTTCACAGCCAAACTCATCAAGTAACCAGCTGCCCCCAGTCATTCGATCTCTTCATTTCTGCAAATGACAGGATGGGCACTGAATTAGGTTTACCAATGTGTTCAATATTTGCATGGAGTGCCCTACGATTATGTCCCACTCTGTAATGTTTAGGAATGCCTGCTTCCAAGATGTCCACAAAGAGATTCCAAAGGCAGCGCATGACTCCAATGCCTAGCACCACGATTCATCGCAAATTTGTGTGGCTAGACTTGGTCGAGAATTTGGAAAACATACCGTGAAGAATTTGAGTCGCATATAGAAAAGCCTCTACAAGGAGCGTCCCTACATCTAATCAATGGGGACTCCCGGAATGGAGCGTGGAGCCAGTGTCATCACGCTTTTATTCTCTCGCACCTTCCAATTCAAGTCGCCAATGCTTGCATATCCTTTAGACAGAATTTAATTCCATGATAGTTGGAAGAACGATCGAATGTTAACAATGCAGAAGGTGAACTGCGAGACAGCTTCAATTGGAGAGGGATGTCACGATCTCAGTTGATGGCAGGTTGGTTAGCTTTCTTTGAAGATGATCTTAGCAACGTAGAATCCGAAAGTTTGATTTTCGTTGAATTCATGGGCAGGGTACAGGAGGAATTTGTTCTAGAGTAGGTGCCACTTGCAAAAGATACTTGGAGGTTGCGAATCTGCCAGAGATCATTCGGCGTTTCTACAAACACTTAGATCACCATATTTCAGACTGTACCATCGTTAGTTCCGGGGGTGGCTGTTCTCCTGTCATTCACAGCAACAATCTTAGTTCGGCTATCACGAGGGTTAGCTTCTGAGGCTCAATACCTTGAGATTCAGCAGGAGGATAGAACTTTCACGAGAAAAAATACTGGATTAACGCATCAGACTTCCAGGAGAAATGCGCATTTTAATCCACTTTCACAGGAGTTGCAGAATTTTGACGAAGAGCAGTCCACGCATCACCAAAACATAGCGAGCAGTCATATGTATTGAACACGGACTGTCACGGCTGCCTCCATCAATGTAATTTGAACAAGAGAAAGATAAATTTCAAAAAAACAAGCTGCGGTGAGAAATGATCAGTGTAGCACGACAGTGAAGGGCGTAGGTCGCGCTACACCTAAAAGACTGATCACGTTATGTGCAGCAGCACTGCTTTGTAAGTTTCTTGTCGAGATTTTCATTAAACTTCATCCGATCATTCAAACTTCAAGCCGAGGTTATCGCACTCCAACGCGGCGAATGGTTCTTAAGGGGATCGGAAAGAGTAGGTCCAGTAACAGCAGCGTCTCAGACAGTTCGAGCATGAGCGCCACATCGTCGACTTGTCTGAGACGGTTGAGTCGACCGTTGTTCGGTGAATCAGTCTCGTCGTCGACGAAGCTGCGCTGTGAAGTTGCAGTGCAGTTATTGATCTCGTTCTGTAGATTCGGCGTTGACTGGTGGTGGTGTGCAGCCTGCGCGGCGTCGCTGACCTGATCCACGATGACCGACAGTGATGCGTTCGACCTGCGTGGCTGGTTAGCTGCATTCCGGCACAAATACACATGTTTTACATTTAAAGGCATTATAAATAGTTTTTATGACTTTGTACTGAGAGATGTGCGCGTGATTTAGCAGTCGGCGGAACGAATCTCAGCTGCTAAATAGTTGTCCTATCTGAAGAATTATTGCTTAGTGATTTTAGACCCCTGTTGTTTCATGTGTGTGTGTATATATATATATATATATATATATATATACACGTATATATATTTTCATGTTGATAAGAATGTCAAGTTGTTGCTGGTTATTTTGGTCAAGTGGATGATGATGTGGTCAGATCCACACTACAAAGGTTTTGAAAATTACGTAATAGTTCTTTACAATCAAATTTATATAACCCGTGTTTTCTGTTTTTTCTTTATTTTGTGCTTTAGGTTCCATGCGTATGGATTATGTAAGTAATTTTTGAAATTAAAACTAAAAGCCATAGGAATTATTATATTTATAGAATAATATATTCACAAGTAAGTCCACTAAAATCCTACAAGTAGTATTATGCTTGGATTTTGTTTAAATAAGTAAAAAAATAAACAACAAATTTTCTGGAACCCAGGAAATTGATTAATATTATAATCCTATACATACTGGTAAGTATTTCAAAAAAAGAAAAAAGTATATATGCTGGAAAAACATATTGATAGCTTTATAAGGTGTTAACAGAATCTTTTTTTAAATAAGTTCTTCCCGGTAGTAAATTCATATACTATAATTGCCATCATGAAGTTATATCATGCCTCTGGAATTTTTCAAATCATTCTTTAAAAGCTGCGGGTTTGTGCAAATAAAATCAAAGTGTTTATTAAATAATCAACTATCACAAAACTAAACTTTAAAATCACTAGACTTTCCAATTAAACAAATATTCACACAAAAACATTAATACACGCATACATACACACACATACATATCAAATAGTATTTCCAACTTAGTTTCAATCACCCATCTTTTAAAAACCGTATCGTTCATCAAATATGAAACTACCGCTAGCAAATATTGCGCAACTAATCAAAAAAGTTCAAAAGCAATCAACAACAGCAGAAATTGAAGCACGATAATAAATAAATAAGTAAATAATAAAAAAAAATCCAACAAAAAACACGCCTTTTAAATGCTACCCAATCTTATTAAATTTCATTATTAGTTTCAATTCTTTCCTCTAATGATACACCAAGAATCACCCCACCTCAGTCTTATACTGATTTTCCCACCCAAAGACCAAATTAAAAGACTAAAACCATCACACAAACACACACACACACTGTTCTTTATATTGCGCACGTTCTAGAACACTAGAACACGTTCTAGTACGTTCCAACATCGAATAAGAGACACCGGAAACGGCCATCGGGGCACTGAAGGGACCCAAAGCCGCGACGAGCGGATGAACTGCAATTGGTAAGTGGCGAAGAGGGGGACGGCGACAGGGCCCCCTTTCATGCCCCTGGGGAAGCTTCTACGAAGGACCCGGTCGGAAGAGGAGGGAGGGAATGAAGTCCTGGTGCCTGATGCTCTTCCGGGACTCGTGCTGTTGTTGGGTCCGCGTCGAAAGGGCGGGAGTGTGTGTTCCAATTCAGCCTTTCTTCACTCCATCGCTGCAACTGCAGCTGCTTGCCACCATTGTCGACCGTTTTTCGGGTCTCATTTCTACCCAGTTCGAACAATTGTCGATAGCGTCGTCCTAGAGTTTGTTCGATTGGTGTTGCGTTGTTAGGGTTAGTGGAATACGGTGCTTTGCGGGAAGGGCATAATAGGAGACTTTTGTGGGTTTGATTGATTGAGAGTGTGGGGGTGGAGGTGGAGGTGGAGGTGAGGAATTGATGCAGGGCGGAGCATCGTCGAGTGGCGGGGCTGTGTCTTTGGGTCAGCAGGTTAGACAGATGGGAGCGCCCTCGGGAGGGGGTGGGAATGGGGGTGGAGGAGGCGGAGGAGGCGGAGGAGGAGGAGGAGGGGGTGTGGGGACGCCTCCGACGGGTAGTGGAGGTGGGTCGAATGCGAAGCGGGGCAGGGGGAGGCCCATGGGAGCGAACAATGCGGGTGGGAACACGTCGTCTGCGTTTAAGGTAGCGGATGTGTCCCCCGCCGCGAGGCGGAAGAAGCAGAAAGTGGCGGACAAGCAGATTCCTGATAAGGTCGCTGCTCTGTTGCCCGAATCTGCTATTTACACCCAGCTCGTGGAGTTTGAGGCGCGCGTGGACGCGGCGCTGGCTAGGAAAAAGCTTGACATTCAGGAGGTTGTGCGATCGCCGCCCCCTGTGGAGCGCGTTTTGAGAATGTATGTTTTCAATACGTATGCTAATCAGACTCCGAACCCTAATTCTTCATTTCAGCAGCATTATGTGGAGCCGCCGTCATGGACGCTGAGGATTATGGGGCGTGTTCTGGAGGGCGATGATGTGGAGGCTAATGGGAATGGCTCGAAACCGGCGAACTCTTCGTTGCCGAAATTCTCGTCGTTTTTCAAGAGGATAACTATTCAATTGGACCCGGTGCATTACCCGGAAAACAATATGATTGTATGGGATAGTGCTAGGGCTTCCAATCATGTTGAGGGTTTTGAGATTAAGAGGCGGGGAAATGTCGACTGTGATGTTAACATATGGTTGGAAATGGATCATACCCCGGAAAGGTTTAAGTTGTCACCTGCTCTAGCTCAAGTACTTGGCGTCGAGGTGGATACGCGGCCACATGTTATAGCTGCTGTGTGGCAATATATCAAGACTAAGAAACTCCAGAATCCAGTGGATCCGACCATGATCAACTGCGACGATGCATTACAAAAAGTCTTTGATGATGAGAAGATAAAATTTGCGTCGATATCTGCAAGACTACACCAGCACATGAATCCACCACAACCCATACAGTTGTACCACAGAATCAAGGTGTCAGGGAGTATGCCAGCGGGTAACGCGTGTTATGATGTGAACGTTAACATACCGGCGCCTCTGCTTAAAGAAATGAATCAGTTTCTGACCAACATTGAGAAGCACAGGGATATTGATCTATATGACGACATGATAGCAAACACTATACGGAAGATTAACGAGCATCGCCGGCGTCGAGCTTACTTTCTTGGGTTCAGTAATTCTCCGGTGGATTTTATCAACGGTTTGATTGCCTCTCAAAGCCGGGACCTTAAAATGGTCGTTGGGCAGAATAGTCGGAACGCGGAGAAGGAGCGAAGATCCGATTTTTACAATCAGCCATGGTATGTGCTAGTTAGCCCCGATGATGCGAAGACCTGTGCTCGAGGCTGCAGTGTGATCCACATTATTTTTTAGTATCATGGGACTAAAACGTTGGAACGTGTGCGCGTGCAGGGTGGAAGATGCAGTAATTCGGTACTTGAATCGACGACCGGCCAAGGGCTCGGAAGGTCCGGGGAACAATTCATGAGCACTTCAGGACTTCATCCGCTCGACGATCATATTCTCTTGCTGTAAAATAGCGTGAGCAGGAAAGTTCACATGTGTTCTAAGTCTAAATTTTCGTTCTTACCCTTTTCAGGCTCCGCAAGTGGGCATGGTTTCTCGCGTTGCCTTGTGTTCTGCCTATTTCCCTTGACTTATCTGAGCATTATTGAGTTGCGCTCGTGCTGTGAATAGAATTCTCTCAACCACAGTGTACAGTTTATGCTGAAGGACCTGAAAATTTTCCTATTTGACCTCGTTTTACTGTTGGTTCCACCTGATTAATCCTTTTCTTTGTGTGTAAATGAGGAATGGAACAGGTGATCATGGACTCTGACGACGTTTCTGAACATGTTGCAGGTGGACCAATCTCAAGTTGATCAGCACATTAGAAAGTATTTGACGGTGGGCGTTCTCGAACGTGATACATACCTCGTTACGTGCTTGTATAAATTTTTAGACAGGACGCATTTCTAACGGGTTTCACAGTTGGTTTGTCAGAAATTCTTGCGGATTCTGGCACAGTTTAGTGCATTATGAATTTTTCTCTAGGTAGTTGGATGGAATACTTGCCTTCCATCATTTTGCTGGCCAAGTTAGGATGGCCTTTGTAGGATATCTAGTTCGCGTTCCACAGTACTTCAAAATGCTAGTCGGTATAGTTGTCATTATATGTACAGATTGTGTGATTTTGGCACGAATAGATGAAGTCTCTGTGGAAGCAATTTTGCCATCTCCTAGCAACACTTGATTCCAAGCTTGCAGGTATATGTTGGAAATAAAATACAAGTGGGTTGTATTAGACTTACATATCACGAATCCAAATCAGGTGCTGGTGTGGAGGTGATGTTCGAGGATCGCTGAAAGGCGAAAGCATTCGTAGATGCTCAGCAAATTGAGAAAGTAATACGCGTGTTGTTTATGGTACCCACTCTTGTCAAGTCTCTGTTCAGAAAGTAGTAACTTTTTCATGTTTGTAAAACCATCAGATCTGAAATAAATCACCGTGTGAAGGACAGGAACATGTGCACATAGCGGGTTCAATGTTGATTTTTAAAAACATTTGGATTCTAAAATTTATTACAGAGTGAATCCAGTGTTAGATTAATATTATTATGTTTAAACAATTGTTGATTTTATTAAGTTTTGTATTCAGCAAGAATACTAATAATGGCAACAGTTAAGAATTTTCTGAAGCTATTAAACCAATTTACTGGTGTATTTTTTTACTAAGTATATATTAAATTGTCATGATAAGTATTATTTATAAAAATTAATGTGTATTTAATATAAAGATCAATTTAGGACTTATACATTTAAATACTTATTTAAAATCTTAAATTCTTTAAAATTGGATCAAATCCATTTTGTTACTAAATTCTTTTTATATACCATTCATTATATTGTCTTCATGCATTGAAAGATTCAATTTGGATCCAAAGTATACAATTTTATCTCAACCTACTTTTTGCCTAAATATATTTTTTGAACACTTATTTTAATCAATTTGTTTTAGTATTTAAATCTTATATCAGTTTTAAATTGATTCAATCACAACTTCAGCAATTAATAACTCTTATTAAATGTATATGCACAAATGTAACATAAGTATATCAAATTAATAAAAATAATAAATCATACAAAGTTATATTTGTTTTGACAATGTTTTTGTTATTTAACAGTACAAATTTGATAATTGGCAATAAGAATTCCTTCTCAATCATTACTTAATATGCTACTATAATAAATCTCTTCAAAAACTTAACAATAATCTTTCACACATATGGTAAGAGATGTCAGATAAAGAAGACAAGATAGATTTTTATTGGAGAAACAGGCAATCTCAACTAAATAAATAAATTAAAAAAAAAATGGAATATATTGAGACTCTAATTGATGCAATAGTTGGTATTCTTATAAAATATTTTATTAAATTTATGTCAAAATTAATTAATTAAAGACAAACATTAGATATTAGCCATATTCAAAAAGAATCGAAAAGTTATGTTATACAAGAGAAGTTAACTTTTGTATTATCTTTTAAAAAGAATACAATTTTTAGTAGAAAATCACTTGATGAAATAAATTTTCTTTCAATATCTAGTCACATTTATGACATTTAAATGTGGAACACAAGTCAAATCTAATTTCATCTCCAAATGTTAATTATAAAGAGAAACTAATATCAAAAGAATATCTTTCTCCAACAACAATGATAATTTATGGTATTTGCCAAAAACATCATTAGAATAAAAATCAACTCTTATATTATTAAAGTAAAGTTCACTAACACAAGTACAATAACAAACAAAACCGAGTACAAAATCTGAATACTCATAGTTCATTGATCCTTCCAACTGACACATAAGTCAATTGATAGAATTACTTTTTTATTGTGTGTATTCATCCAGTCCTCTACATGGATGAAAAATCTCATTATCATTTGACGTAGGGTTTATGAGAAAAGTGTTGTAGAAGCACATAGACGTGCGTACTCAGTTTTGGTTGCTTCTTCTTACTGAATTTCGAAATTTCAATGTACACTCCTTGTTGCAAGATTTGAGGGTATTTTTTGTTTGTTGTGTTGCTCTTGTTGTGTACTATCTATAGTGAAAGTTGATTTGTCAATTGTATCTCTATGCCTCGGTTGTGTGAATCATTGAAGCACCAAGCATTGGTGCAGCTTAGGAGTGGTGTTTCTATAAGAAAAGTTGCAGACTCACTTCGAATGAGTTAATCTTCAGTAGCTCATCTGAGGAGGGAGATTAGTGGTGAAATAGAAAAGCAAAGAGGAGGACGTCCAAAGGTTTTAGGAGAGCAAGAGAAGCGACTTGGTGTGCACCTTGTCACTGCTGGTTGCCTCAAAACGGCAAGTGCAGCTACAAAACAACTTCGAGAAAAAACAGGTAAACACTTCTCAGACATCACCTTGAGGCGTGGTTTGAGAGAAGCTGGTTTGGGTACTTGTGTGCAACAAAAGAAGCCTCTACTTGCCAAAAGACATGTTCTTGCAAGGTTGAGTTTTGCTCATAAATACAAAAATTGGACCGTTGATGATTGGAGACGAGTTATTTTCAGTGATGAGACAAAGATTAACCTAATCAACTCAGATGGTAGGTCTTGGTGTTGGTTGAGAGAAGGAGAACGACCTAGACCTAAACATGTTAGTCAAACTATCAAACATGGTGGTGGTTCAATTATGATTTGGGGTTGTATGACTGCTTTTGGGCCGGGTGCTTGGTATCAAATTGAAGGTAGAATGGAGCAACACTTGTACAAAAAAATTTTAGAAACCTACTTGCAAAGTACGACACAGAATTACAACTTAGATCCTACTAAGGTGGTTTTTCAACATGATAATGATCCCAAACATACGGCAAAAAGTGTTCAATTTTGGCTCTCTTCACAATGTTAGGGACATAGTCCTTAGACCTTTCTAGAGACAAGTTTCTAGAACCTTCTAGAAAGAAGTCTCTAGAAACTTCCAGAAGATTCCTTGAATATTTTCTTAGAATATTCTTCAAAGATTTCCTAAATATTCTTTGAAGATTCTCTAAAGATTCCCTTAGAAGGCTCTAGAAGATTCTTAGAATATTCTAGTAGATTCTAGGAAGTTACTTGAGAAGCTTCCTAGCTTTTGGGTAGTTGCTCGAGAAACTTCATAGTTCTTGGGAAGCTTCTTGATGCGCTTCCTTAGAACCATAGGCCAGTAGTATATATAGGAATCGAGGCTGAAGAGTTCTTCAGTCTCGACAACACATCTCTTGGAGTTCTAGCTCACCTTTCTGGTGTTGTTCTTGTACTCATCTGTTTAATCTAGTTCTGCCACTTCTTCTTGAACTTCTTGTTAGATTTCAAGTCTGTATTTTGTGTCCGTGACAGTTTGTCGAGACTACCTTTATCTTAATATCAGAGCTGAATCCTTCTTGTTTGAGAGCGGATTACCCCTCTTCTTGAAGGTATTCTAGCGCTTTAGGGGTTGCGGATTACCTTCCTCTAAACTGATATTTTCTCAATCACAATATCAGAGCTTAGTTCTTTGAGGCAGAGAGTGGACTACCCCTTTCCTTGGAGATACTTGAGCGTTCTAAGGGTTGCGGATTACCCTCTCTTGGACTGATATTAATTCCTTCTTTTTGTTGAGCATAGCTAGTAGAAAAGACTGTTAATATCGATTTCAGAGCTTTGCCTTCTTGATAGAGTGCGGATTACCCCTCTTCTTGAAAGCATTGAGGCATTTTTAGAGGTTGCGGATTACCCTCCTCTAAAACTGAAATCGTTTAGTGTTTTTTTTTCCTTTTCTCCGAGTAGGTTTTAGTGACAGGTAGTGCTACAATTTTCTCCAAGAGACTTAGCAATTTCTTCTTCTCTCAAAATTTTAATCCATCTATTCTCTAAATATGGAAGTAGACCAGGTTAAAGACAGTGCATCTCCACAAGTAGACAATAGAGTGGCAACTCTTGCAGATCTTCAAGCTCTTATGAATAGTGTACGAAAGGAGATTGCATTTCTTCGCAATCCAAGTAAAGAACCTCAAATTGATCTAGTGACCAAAGAAGCTAGACGCGAAATTCATAGCCTACAACAAGAGATTATTCGACTGAGAGAAGCAAGACATGTGTCACATACGACCCCTATAGATACTTCAAGGATTAGTACGAAAGAACCAAAAGCGAGTATGCCAGACAAGTTTGACGGAACAAGAGCCAACTTTCGAGGTTTTGTGCAACAAGTACGGCTTTACCTATGCCTATACCCTTCTCGTTATCCGAATGGATTTACCCAGGTTGCTTTCATAGGTACTCTTCTATCAGGAAATGCTCGCTCTTGGTTTGCTCCACTATTGGAGAAGGATTCTCCAATATTGTACGACCTAGAGGCTTTCATAGAGAGACTTACTGCTGCGTTTGGAGATAGGGATCAAGAAAGAGTGGCTGAAAGAAAGATACAAAATCTGCGACAAGGATCACGTTCTGCTGCAATCTATGCTGCAGAATTTCAACAGCTTACATGCGATCTTGATTGGAATGATAAGGCGTTCATGACACGATTTCGATATGGACTGAGAGATGATGTCAAGAACTTATTGATCACCATGCCTAAGGCGGATACTTTAGAAGAACTTATATCTCAGGCAATTATTTGTGACAACCGCCTCTTTGAATTACGACAAGAAAGACGATCAGGCTAGAGAAATGATGGAGCATTTGCTACATTTTCAAAAGGTCCAGAGAATCACTCCACAGATCCTGAACCCATGCAAATTGATGCGGTACGTTTCAAACCCCTCACAGCTGAGGAAAGGAAGCGACGGTTTGAACAAAACTTGTGTTTATATTGCGGAGAAGCGGGCCATAAAGCTGTAGATTGTCGGAAGAAACAGAAGCCTCAAACAACAAGACTCAGGAGTACAAGCATGTAGGAAAACAAGGACGCCCAGCCACAATAGGGACCGTGCGGCTGGACATCTCAACATCCAAAATTAATCAAGGTCCCTTTCTCTCAGCTCAACCTTCAGATTGTTTTATGGTACCTTTACATCTGGGTATTCAAGAACTACAAGTCGATGCTTTATTAGACTCGGGTGCATCCGCTTGCTTTATAGATGAAGAGTTTGCCAAGCTTCACAATATTTCTCTTGTAAAGAAACTTAAGCCTGTCCATGTAGAAGTCATAGATGGACGACCATTGTCTTCGGGCAATGTTATCTATGAAACTAAATCATTCAAGGTACGTCTTGAAAACCATGAGAGCAATATTGTGTTTAATGTTATCAAGACCCCTTCATGTCCTATCATTTTGGGACTATCTTGGCTTGATAGATATAATCCATTGATAGATTGGAAGTTGCGAAAAGTGACATTTCCAACAAACTCCTTGAAGGTGGAATCTGCCAAGACAATGTCTAGAAACAAATCCTTGTTTATAGGTGCAAGGGCTTTCATGAAGGAAGCCAAGCAAAATACACCTCTGGTCATCTTTGCAACTCCGACTCGAGAAGATGCAACTCCGACTTT